AGCATTTTGAAAAGATCCCTGCCTCCTGTGCAGACCACACTGTAGAAGTCGAAGCAGGAAGCCTGCTAGGAAGCTCTTTCAAGAGATGAGAGACTTGGAGGAGGGAGGGCCAGTGTGGGGAGGGACAGAGGAGAAGCAGAGAGAGAAGCAGGGTCCTCGCTGAGTAGGAAGCCTGATGTGGGACTCGATCGCATGAACCTGAGATCATGACCTGAGCTGAAGGCAGACACTTAACTGACTGAGCCACCCAGATGCCCCTCCTTTATTGTTCTTATCATAATTTGTAATTATCTATTTACCCATGTTTACTCACAGTTTCTTTTTTATTTTTTTATTATTTTTTAAATTTAAATTCAATTAATTAACATACAGTGTATTATTAGTGTTTCAGGTCAGTGATTCATCAGTCTTATATAACACCCGGTGCTCATTACATCACATGCCCTCTTTAATATCCATCACCCAGTTACCCCATCCCTCCACCCCCACCCCTCCAGCAACCCTCAGTTTGTTTCCTATGATTAAGAGTCTCTTATGGTTTGTCTCCCTCTCTGATTTCATCTTGTTTTATTTTTCCCTCCCTTCCCCTATGATCCTCTGTTTTGTTTCTTAAATTCCACATATGAGTGAGATCATGATAATTGTCTTTATCTGATTGACTTATTTCACCTAGCATAATGCCCCCTAGTTCCATCCATGTCGTTACAAATGGCAAGATTTTATTTTTTTGATGGCTGAGTAGTATTCCATTGTGTGTGTGTGTGTGTGTGTGTATCACATCTTCTTGGCTCTTTCCATAGTTTGGCTATTGTGGACATTGCCGTTATAAACATTGGGGTGCACATGCCTCTTTGGATCACTACATTTGTATCTTTAGGGTAAATACCCAGTAGTGCAATTCCTGGGTCATAGGGTAGCTCTATTTTCAACTCTTTGAGGAACGTCCATACTGTTTTCCAGAATGGCTGCACCAGCTTGCATTCCCACCAACAGTGTAGGAGGGTTCCCCTTTCTCTGCATCCTCACTAACATCTGTCATTTCCTAATTTGTTAATTTTAGCCATTCTGACTGGTGTGAGGTGGTATCTCACTGTGGTTTTGATTTGTATTTCCCTGATGACAAGTGATGTGGAGCATTTTTTCATGCATCTGTTGGCCATTTGGATGTCTTCTTTGCAGAAATGTCTGTTCATGTCTTCTGCCCATTTCTTGATTGGATTATTTGTTCTTTGGGTTTGATAAGTTCTTTGTAGATTTTGGATACTAGCCTTTTATCTGCTGTGTCATTTGCAAATATCTTCTCCCATTCTGTCAGTTGTCTTTGGTTTTGTCAACTGTTTCCTTTGCTGTGCAAAAGCTTTTTATCTTGATGAAGTCCCAATCATTCATTTTTGCCCTTGCTTCCCTTGCCTTTGGAGATGTGTCTAACAAGAAGTTGCTGAGGCCAAGGTCACAGAGGTACTTGCATAGTTTCTGTGTCTTTCTTTACACTGCAAAAATCTGTGGGGGTATGGGTCATGTTCATTTTGTTTATCACAGAATGCTCAACTTTTAGCAAAGGTACTGCAATCAATATTGAATTTAAAAAATCTATATATATAATAGAACATGATAAATGGCCAATAACTATTATTATGATTATAAGTCATGTTAGTCACATTAGCTGTTATTATTATTTGATCAGGAAATAAATTCTCATTTGATAAAGATACACACCTAGCTAATAGCAGAGCAAAGGAAAAAAAATGCTCAAAATGAAGCAGAGGTAGTTAATAGAATGAAGGAGTATCAGATAATTTTGATTTAGTTGCTTCTCCCAGGGAAAAATTTAGTACAATAGAAGATGCTGATATTTCTTGATATACATATTATATACATAAATACAATCTGTCTTCCTTGGTGATGCTAACAACGTGTGAGCACCCCTGCTGTTGTTAACCTACTTAAAGCCTGAGAGCTTTTCTACTGGATCCTTTCTAAAATTAAAAAAATGCAGCAAATTAATTTTACTGATTTATCTGTTTGTATCACCTAACTCAAATATGGAGACAAGAAATAATATGATTTATATTTTGCACCTCCTAACCCCCCAACACATAGTAAAGAGGAATGCATTGCTTTCTCAGGTTAGAACAAACGTATCCTAGGAACTGTCTTGGGCCCTTAATCTCATCTTTAGGAATGGAACTTCTCTGACCTCAATCACTTCAGATCCCAACTGCTGTTTCCAGTGGAAATTCGTTACTAGCTTTTAAAATTTTAAACATATCGTTCTGGGCACTGCACTTCCACTTCTAAGACTTTTGTGAAGCGATACAGAAATGAATGCAAATAAATGGATACTACTGTAGTACTCTTTATAATAAGAAAAAAATTACTAAATTTAAGCGTTTGCATAAATGAAAGTTTAAATGAAGTATGAATCATTCGTACATGCTTTTTTTTAATTTATTTATCTTCCATGTGCCAATCATCTTTTAGTGGACATTAATTCTCAGTTAGGATATGAAAGGATTCAGGGATGTGAGGAAAAGGTCATGGTCAGGAATGAAGAATGCGCCCTCAATATCGGGCCCTCTTCAGTGGTACTTGTGTAGCTGCTTATGTTTGAGTTCCTTGTATGAAAGGAAGTAGTTTAAAAACTCGTAAGCTGCCAACACCATAGAAATCCCAGGGACACTTCCTTTCTTCATATTAACATACGTTAAAAAAATTTTTTTTTATTATGTTAGTCACCATACAGTACATCATTAGTTTCTGATGTAGTGTTCCATGATTCATTGTTTGCATATAACACCCAGTGCTCCATGCAGTACGTGCCCTCCTTAATACCCATCACCGGGCTCACCCATCCCCCCAACCCCTCTCCCCTCTAAAACCCTCAGTTTGTTTCTCGGTGTCCATAGTCTCTCATGGTTCTTCTCCCCCTCCGATTTCCCTCCCTTCATTTTTCCCTTCCTTCTCCTAATGTCCTCCATGCTATTCCTTATGTTCCACAAATAAGTGAAACCATATGATAATTGACTTTCTCTGCTTGACTTATTTCACTTAGCATAATCTCCTCCAGTCCCATCCATGTTGAGGCAAAAGCTGGGTATTCATCCTTTCTGATGGCTGAGGAATATTCCACATTAACATGCTAAATGAAACATCAGTAGTAACCCCTTTGAAACATTCCAGCAATGCCTTTAGGAGTAAAATCCCACATCAGTATCCAGCTTGGCAGCTCTCCTATTTTGACATCGTCGATGAGCTTCTTCTCCTTCACTGGTATGACTGACACCATCTTGGAGTCCTAGGTGTCCATATACACTTTTTTAAATGAGCAGAAAATATTTTGAAAAATCACATAAAGTTGTTAGTGGTTTCCTCTACTTTGTGAGATTTATGGAGTAAAGAAATTAAAGTTACATATGTAATTATACACATAGTTACATATCATTATGGTTATATATAACTTGCACTAATTATATATAATAACTATTTCTACATTCTCCTTATCTTCACACTATTTTTTCTTTTTCTTTTTTTCTATTTTTTAAAAAATATTTATTTGAGAGAGAGCAACGAGACAGCGGGGAGGGGGGCTGAGGGAGAGAGAGAAAGAGGATCTCAAGCAGACTCCCGTTGAGTGCAGAGCCTGACACGGGGCTTGATCCCATGACCCTGAGGATCATGACCTGAGCTTAAATCAAGAGTCAGATGCTTAACGGACTGAGCCACCCAGGTGCCCCCCCTTCATAATGGTTTTCAATTATACTTTTTATTTTGAAATAATCATAGAGTCACATGAAGTTTTAAGAAATAACACAGAGAGATCCAGCATATTCTCTACTGAGTTTCCCCTAATGACAACATCTTGGAAAACTATACTACAATATCAAAACCAGTATGTTGATATTGATACAGACAAGAAACAAAACATACTCTGGTTTTTCCCATTTCCCATCTCCTATCTCCTGCCTGAGCCTCCCAGGGTCAGAATGCAGCCCAAAGTTATCTGACCTAGGAACCTGAGGGGTTAGCATCACAGAGCAGAGCAGGGAAAGGGTGGGGAGTGGATATGAGGGCAAATGGTTCCAAGACTGGCACAAGCTCAGGCCTAAAGGCAGATCAGGGCAGATATTCTTGGTAGGAAGAAACGAGGTTTTTCATTAAGGCATAAAAGTGTTAGCAGGAAAGAGATTTAGTGATTTTCTCAGTGTGAATGGGGCTAGAGCACATTTCAAGAAAGGAATATTCCAAGAAAGAAAAGGAAGGAAAGAAGGGAGGAAAAAGATTGACTAGACTAGACATGCAAACAAAGGCCAGGTCATGAAGGGCTTTGTAGCCATACTAAGGAACTTGACATCTATAGGTGATTGTATATCACCAGAATTATGTCTTGGAAAGATAATTCTGGCATCATCATAGATGGTGGCACGGAGAAAAGGAAAGGATAGTTCAGAACTTAGTAGCCAAAGGATGATGCAGTGAAGACCTAACTTGGTAGCAGGGTCTGTGAAAGCTATGGAGTGGTCATAGTATAACCACAAACTTAATAGAACCTCGCACTCTGGTGACGTAGATGCCGAGTCAGTCAAAGACCCTAGTCTTGTCAGATTAATACTTTGAAAACTCTTTTCATTTTTATATTTAAAAAATTCTTTAGGAGTGAGGGAATAGGAGCTTGAGGGATATAGAAACACTGTCAAAGAGCAGTTGAAGAAAATGATGATGTTTAACCTAAAGTCAAGCAGAGGGGAAGACATGATTATGTCTTCCTGAAAATGCCGGTTGTCTTGATAACAAGAGGCTCTCTGGAGTTTATGACCCAAGAGAAAAATTATCTAGTGGGCCCTTCTGAATAGAGCCCCTAGAAATAAACACAGGACAAAATGAAATCCATTCATTGCTTTATTCACCCTTTTCAGGGGTCACTACACCTTAGGATGAAATGAGTTCCAGCCCCAGAGGAGAGCACTATTCCCCTTCCCCTCCACCGCTGCTTTGTGCTGACATCACACCAAAGGCGACAGCGCCTCCTGAAAGGCAGAAGGACAAGAATAAAAATAAAGTGGTTTACATGTGCTTCGCATGTTTCCAAAAATAGTCACCAACCTATTTAGCCACCATTTTACTGATGTGGAAATGGAGGCCCAGAGTGGTTAAGTCCCAACTAGAATCACTAATCTGAGAAATGCAAAGTCACAATCATAACAGATCTCTTTCATTCAAAAATCCCTTCTAGAAATGTAGATGCTGCACCTTCCTTGAGATTCCTGGGCATGCAAACTTTGTATGAGTACATCCAGGGAAATACATGTCTACAGGTGAGAACAGGGTGAGTGGGGGCATGGGGGGGGCGTTCAGGTGACTAAGCTCTCCCCATTGACAAATTAGTCCACAACCTATAGTTACCAGCAGTTTCTTCACTGCCTCAGAGGCCTCTGGTCCCAGCTCATTCACACACTTTCTTAGCCCTTCCACAAGGTGCTCAATAGAAATGCCCAGAGTGTTCAGAAGAAGCTTTAATGGATCCATAAAGGGGTGAATGTTGTCCACAGGTAAAAGTAAGACTTTGTTGACAGCATCTGGCAAACTGTTGGTAAGGAAGGCGGTAGCTGCAGAGCAAAAGGGAAACTGAGTGAAATAGGCACATCTGACTCCTGTCCACGACTGCACTACTTTCCACTGTGTCCATCAATAACTCTGTTCCAGTCTCACTTGATTTCCCATGAAAACTTTTGCCTCAGGGCCTTTGCACCTGCTGTTCTGTCTCCTCAGAACTTTTTTCTCCAGTTAGCTACACGTCTCTCCTCAAATGTTACCTCCTCAGAAAGGTACCTAAAATAGCATCATTTATCATCCTCTAACTTCCTTTATTTTCTCTTACCATTACGTAAAATAGTAAACCTCACTTATTTTGTGCCTTCAACCTCTCACTAATACGCAGACTCCATGAGAACAAGGAATTTATGTTTTATTCACTACTGTACCTCATGCCTAGAATAGACCCTGGCATTTAGTAAGCACTCAGTAGAAACTGGTGGTTCACTGAACAGGAATGTACTTTGCATGTGGTTATCTCCACAATCCATGGCTTTGAGGCCAAAAAGTAGATTCCATAATGAACCTTCACTTGGGGACATGCAGGAACCCAATCAACCACAGCCCAGGAAACTGCTCCCAACCAATTCAACCCAATGCTACAAACATAACTGAACACCAACTCTGTAGTGGTTAGTGCAGATACATAGATGAATAAGATGAGGATATTCCATTCAGAGAACTTACACAGTCTGGTGGACAATAAAGATCTGTACATGCCACAGTGTGGCATGTGCTGTGCTAACAGTGTGGATAAAGTTCTATGGAAACATAAGAGAAGGGATGACTAATTCTAATGTGACAGAGTGTTGGAGCAATCTTCCCAGAGAGATGTTGCTGGAGCTGTGTCTTGAGGCAGAATCCAGGGTCACAGGGTAAAGTAGGGGAGGTGCATTTTAAAAAGGAACAAAATTAACAAGCACACTGAAATGTGAGGATGAAAGTGTGCACACTGCCTGGTGAACCTTCCAGAGCAGCTGGAGTGCAGAATTCCAGTGAGGTATGCTGAGGTGGGGAAGGAGGTAAGGCAGCAAAACCCAGGTGAGGTCAGATTTTTCAGAGCCTGGAATGCCATATTAATGCATTTGACACTTTTTCCCCTAAGGGCAATGGGGAGGTATCAAGGCTCTTTTATGGAACAATTGCGTTTTGCATCTTTGGCTTTAGAAAGATAACTTTCACATAGAAGATGAATAGAAGGGAAAGTGTAGAGAATGAGAAAAATACATACAATAGACATTTTTACAAAACACATGTGCAAATATGTAAACACACACGTACATGAGAACACACATAAGAACACATCTTCCTAGTAAGACCCTGCCATAGTTCATTTTCCTTTGGAATCCTTTTCATTCCCCATTCAAATCGTACAAGTGGAGCCTATGCATCTACCTTCACTTCATCTTCTGCCACCTATTTTCCCTCCAAAATCCTCCTGCATAGGAGGGATATTTATTTCCTTCCAACCAGCTTTCTGTTGCCACCTCGGTCAGTAAATATTTGATGCTAGTTACTAAAGACAAGAAAATAGCCAAAACTGGTGAAGTTACAAGTTGGTCCAAAATTTCAGTAAAAAGCACAAACCAAAGTTGCCAATGTGGGAGTGGACAGCACCTAGTTTCTCATGATTAGTCTCCCTACTTATTTTAAAGGTTCTGGCAGCTGTCTTCTCTGCATATACTTATATACTTCCAGGGGAAGACCTTCAAGGCTTTCTGTTCTTTGAATGAACAGTGGCTATCACAATGCATTTTGCAGATGCATCCAAATACACTTTCCTGTAGTTAAAATGATTCCCTTCAAAAAGAATGGATCAAGAATCCAACTTCTATACCCCACCTAGAAATTGAACTGTTCGCCCCTCAGTTCTCCCACAGAGCTCTGGCTGTGTGTGTCTCTGTGCATTAGTTTAGCATCATAGTGACTTCTGTCTGAAGAAGGCTTATCTCCCCCATCAGATTACAAGAACCTTGTAAACAATCTGTGTCTGATTCATATCTAAATTTTCTGATGCTTATCCAAGTACCCAACGGTTTGTAGCCATTCAGCAACTATCCATTGACTGTGTGAATGATAAATGTAGCTCCGTCTCAGGAGAAACAACCTGGCAACTGATTACAAAAGATAGAAAGAATGACTCCGTATAGTTTCAAAAGAAAGAAGTTACCAAGTGAGATTTTGACTCAAGATTAATAAAGAAAAGAAAAACTATGGTGACAATGTTCAAGAATGTTGACCTCCAGTGTGAGTTGGCTAACTTCTTATGTAGGATTCACTAAGGATTGTACTTCTATTGGGTAGAAGCTTGGTAGGCTGGGGTTGGGGTGGGGGTGGGGTTGCTGCATCTGAAATCCCTTCTGACCTTTCCATTCTGTGGTTCTAAAATTCCCTCCACCATATTCCCCTGGAAGCCTAGGCTTACTGATTACACTCCTATCACAGAAAAGTAGAGATACGTGTTCGGGCTACTTACCAGAATAAATGCAAATGCTGACACTCACCAGCAGAAATACAGTTACCAGCTTCATGACAGGGTTTCTGTGATATTTACTTGGAGTTTAAAATTGAACTGCAAAATGCAGTGAATCCACTGAGCTAGTGGCCCCACTTACAGTAGTAGGTGTGATGGCTGCTTTCTGCACAGGCACATATTTATATCCCAGGAATGACCTATTATCAGTCCCTACCACTTGACACCCCAGAGAAGAGCAGGAATATCATGTTTCCTCACTAAACAAATTGGAGGTTTTTCCACTTACCCTCATATTCCCACAAGAAACAAAGCCCTAACTTGAAGCATTCTCAAGGACCTCTCATAAAAGCCCTTCCTTACCTGCTTACCCTGACTCATCCATCCCTTCCATGAACAGAGAGCTCTAAGAGTCCTTGTCTTGAAAGAATCTTGAAAAGAAGGGAAAGTTTTATATTGGGATTAAAAAGAGCAAATGTTCTGTTTTCCTCCAGCTTTCTCTTCATCTAAAGTTTGCAGAATCACATTACCTGATAAGCGACCTAGTCGTGGAAGCAATCGGGAGGTCCCATCAGCTGTAGTATATACAGACTCAGCTTCATTGCATTTAGTACCATATTTCTCTAGAATTTACCTCCACCCACCCCATCCCCACTCACACATCTGCCACGCCAAGACCTCTTATTTTTTCTAGTATCTCCCAGGTAATTTGAGAATCCCTCAGGTGTGCCTTCTCTGTTCTCATATAGAATAATAGGCTATAGGACCTAAAACTCAAAATGCCTTTGTAAAAACCTAGGATTCCATATTTACTCTTGGTGTGATCTTGAATTAAACTTTTTTTAAATCTCTAGTATGGGTTTCCTCATCTAAAATGTGGGTGTGTGACCCTGAGGGGGAAAAAAATTTTTTTTTGCAAGACCTTGTCTACATAAATAATTTAGGTCACCAAAACATGCATTTCATTTCAGAACCATTCCGGCAATCCAATCCCACACAGTCACACAAAAGAAACACCGTACCAGCCACAGGAGCAATCTGCTTGCAAGGCTGCCCCCTCTGGAGCCAGGACTTAACCAAGGAGCTCCAGAACATCCCTACTTATAAGCACGAGCCCTGCAACTCCTTGAGACATCTGGTGTCTCCCATGCAAGAAAGAGGGAAAGAAAGAACCCTGAAGGAGGACAAGAGGATTCAGGGTCCAGGTAGGTGCCAGGCCCAGGTCAAATAGCACTGCTGGCCTCAGCCATCGCCACCACGCAGGAGGGACACAGAACATTCTGAGGAAGTCATGCCAAGGCATAAGCGCCTTACGGTGCATGGCCAGGAGCTGGGGCTCTGCTTGAGGGTGTGGTACTGTCAGGAAAATTTAGTAAAATTATGGAAACAGAGAATGTAACTGTACCACAACAAGATTAATACTTATTATGTGTCACCTGTTATTTATTCTTGTAATACAAGGTACTGTGTTGTAACTGCCATTCCTTTATTTTTATGCTACTTTATAAGCTGCAAGAAGGAGAAGATGATTTACCACCATGCTAATTCTCTCCTTCCACTTCTACTGGCTATCTCTGCCAGAGACTGCTTCCATTTCTCCTGGGTATTAACACCTAGCCAGGAATATTGATCTGCCAAAATGCTCAAAGGGCCAAGGTTGTGTGGGAAAGTGGTGGTAAGTTGATGCCAGCCTTTATTTTTATGTTGAGGGGCGCCTGGCTGGCTCAGTGGGTTGAGCATGCAACTCTTGATCTTGGGGTTGTTAGTTCAAGCCCCATGTTGGGCATAGAGCCTACTTAAAACAAAAAGCTAAAAAAATAAATAAAAATGTTTATGTTGTGACCTCTTTATGGGATACTAACCAACACTGCCCTCATCTGCACTCGTCATTTCCCAGTTTCTCTTCAGATCCTTTCCCTGCACATCCCCTCCTCTGCTCTGTCCTAGAGGAAGCTGAGTTTTCCAAACCATGGTTTCTCGGCTTCCTTGCCCTTGTGTCTGGTTGGATTCAGCGGACGGAGGGCACTGGTAGAAGATTCAAAGGGAAAGAATGGGAGAGTCCAGGCTATTTCTCCCTTTGTCACTGAGACCAGTGACTCCATCTTCTCTATGGCTCCAGCTCCTTCCAAAAAGGCCCTGTGTCTGTGGTCCCACCCAAGCCAGGCCAACCCACTACTGTTCCGCCTTCTACAGCATGGCCCCAGCTCCTGGTTCCAGCTCCTTACTCTCTGACTCCTGGCCAAAGAGCAGTAGCAGTTTCCAGCATTTTCTAATATCTGGATTGACTCAGCTCCCTATTTCTTGCTCTAATTGCATTTCTAGCACCTTGTAAATTATCCTCCAAGTTAAATTCCTCCTATTTGCTCACCTGGTATGGTTTTGATTTTCTGGCTGGAATCTGACCAATAAAGCATTCTAAAATGCTGTAGAGTTTTTGTTAAAAACAGATCTTTCAGTTTTTAAACAGAGGTGTCTCCCTCACAAGTAATAAGCTATATGTCCATGAGGGGCAGGGCCAAGACCCCTCCAAGAGAAATACAGCATTATACACACAAAAATGCTTCTCTCTTCCAACCTTGGAGGTGTGTGGTACTCTCTTGAGCTTGTCTGCTGGCCCGACCAGCATGAGTTCTTCTCCAGGAAGACCTGTGTGCTAGATTCTGATGTGCCTATCGAATAACCTACCAGACATGCAGTGTTGGCTGAAACCTACTAGCAGACACAGCTTAGACTGAAGGCTAAAATCTGCTCCATGCAAAACACACACACACACACATTCAGCAACACAAACACCCACATTCTTACACATGCATGAACAGTCATATGTGCCTGTGCACACATACACACATAACCATCAAATACTACTGTTTTCACTCACTTGTTCAACAAATGTTTATTGATCATCCTCTGTGTGTCAGGAAACAAAACTGGAACAGTAAGCCAGACAAGCAAATTTCTTGCCTTCCTGGATGTGACAGTGTAATGGGATAAAGGGAGAACGAACTGGTAAGCAAAGAAAAGAACAAGCGATAGGTAAGTGGTAAGAGGCAAACAGGGTGTCGTGAGAGGGAACAAGGGGATCGGGAGTATAGTCAGACTTGAAAAGAAACTTGGACTTGGCTACTTCCATGATTCATGAGTTCAGAGCTACTGCATTCATCAGGTCTTTTTATTCCATATTTTTGATGCTTTGAGATCTTGGGGTCTTGCTGACCTTAGAGGTACAGCCTTTCCCAGGGTTAACTAATTCCTAGAGATAGCAAATAATTTACTTGGGAGTGCCCCTTTCATATGCAAACCAACTAACCTAGAGCCCATATGCCAACCACCTCCTTTATGGAACTCATACTCTGAGCCACTATACCCCTACCCTAATCACCCAGGGCCAGGTACCAGACAACTAGAGACAGCCCCTACATCCCAGAACCAACAGAAATTATTCAAACTTAGCCAATCCTAAACCTGCTTACCCTGACTCATCCATCCCTTCCAAAAGAAGCAGTAAAGGCTCATGCCCACTTCACCCATAACACACACACCCCAGCCCATCACTTCTGACAGATCTCATTCTTCCCTTGTGCTCCTACCCCGTGATGTGGCAAGGGGAATCTGTGAATGTAACAAACTGTCTTTCCAATGGCAGTCATCTCCTGATCTGTTGGCCTGAAAAATAATAAAACCTATATTTTAGAAGAGGAATCAAGTCTTTTCTTAATGCCTTTGTGATGCTAATGTTACTTTCTTGCAGTATAATTATTCAATTAACGTTTTCTCTGCCAGTACTAATTTGTAAACATCCTGAAGGGGTTTATTTTGTTCACATTTGTATCCTAACACAGAGGCTTACACACTTGATAATATTATTGGGAACCGCTAATCAATGCCAGGCAGTAGACTTTGCATATATATCTACTTCAGCCTCACAAAATCCCTGACCCTAAGAGCTTTTATCCCACTTTACAAATGAGAAGTCTGAAGCCAGAAGCAATGAATTAATTGCCAAGATTTCTTAGATAATAATGCAACCAGAATTTAAGTTCTTCCTCTTCTGATTTGTATTTCTTTACTTTTAAACACTTAATATGCATTTCCAGTAAGCATTGGTAAAATGAATTAATTCATTAAGATAAATAAAATGAAAAAGGAATAAGTGCCACTGTTTCTAAGTTAATTTGGGATGTGCTTTTTGAATGAATTTTTTGTGTGGAGATTAAATTTATAATCAGGAATGGAGATTCCATTAGTCATTCAACAATGATTTACTGAGCAGGTTTAGTATTTCTGGCTCTGTGGTAGATGTTAGGAATACAGCAGGAGCAAAAACAGGAATGACTCTTGCCTCATTTTAATTATATCAAGAAAACTGTTAGAAGCAAGCAAGTCAGTAAGTCTTTTTTTTTTCCTCTGTAAGAGGAAGTTATAACGAAGGCAACTGAATGTCAATGCAAGACACTGATCAGGAAAAAGAAAAGAATCAGCCTGAGATTTCATTTAACACACTTCCTTCTAGCTGCAGAGGAGACTGTCATTGGGAAGTTACGCTGGAAATGTCAGACTAGAGCTTGTTATTTTCTCTCTTCTACTTGCGACGATAGGATGGTCAAACGTAGCCTAACTGAAGGCCATATAAGAGGGGGAAATAGTCTTAAAATTTGTTTTTAAAAACACAACCACTTAGGGACGCCTGGGTGGCTCAGTCAGTTAAGTGTCTGCCTTCAGCTCAGGTCACAATCTTGGGGTCCTGGGATCGAGCTCTGTGCTAGGCTCCTTGCTTGGTGGGGAGTCTGCTTCTCCCTCTGCCCTCCCCTCCGCCGCCCATGCTCTTTCTTTCTCTTTCTCAAATAAAATCTTTAAAAAGCACACACATACACAACCACATAAAATGTAATCAAATGTCATAGCCCAGTATGTCAACCTCATAAAGATTGGAGAAAAGCAAAAAATCTGTTCCTGGCTCCCCTCCATATTGATTGAATCTTATTCAGTGAAAATCAGTCAGTCCCTTGTTATTTGAGGCTAACTTTTAGCTCCTTTCTAGGCACTGCAGGGAACCCCAAA